TTGCCTCAGCTTAATAGATGATTGGTGTAATGTAAACATGCCAACATTGAATATCTCCAAGTGTCAAGTTGTGTCATATAGCCGTATTCATCAACCTATAAATTATACTTATAAGGTTGGCTGTCGTGAAATTGCAAGAAGCGCTACATTTAAGGATCTAGGCGTTCTCTTCGACAACAAGCTGTCCTTCTCAAGTCACATTGACGAGATGTGTTCACGTGCTACAAAGATGCTTGGATTTGTATTTCGCCAGTGTCGACAGTTCCATAACATTCTCTCTATGAAGTCCTTATATTATGCGTTCGACGTTAGAGTATGCGTCAATAGTATGGAAACCAACGCAGGGTTACCTGATCACCAATATCGAAAAAGTGCAACGAAGATTTCTCAAATATCTTTATTTTGCCGAAAACGGGAGTTACCCTGAGCCGCATATAAGTCAGCAGTACATTTTGCATGTTATGGGCGAACAGTCATTGCAGCGCAGAAGATCAAGGCTTAGTGTAAGATTTTTATACAATCTTATACACAATCACATCGATTGTCCATCTTTGTTAGAACGTTTGAACTTTTATGTACCTCATGTGAATACTCGACAACACTACACTTTTTATTGTAAAAAAACTAGGTTAAATATTTCTCGTAATTCACCTATTAATTCAACTTGTGCTCTTCTTAACCTACTTAATAGAAATATTGACATTAATTATGACCCTTTTCCCACTATCGATATGGCTTTAGATTTCCTTTATTAGATATGTACTAAATTATATCCAAATCCAAAATCCAAATGCGTCTATATATTTATAAACTTAAATTTTGTTCTTTTTTCTTATATTATTTCATATTGTGTCCTATAATTGGTGTAAACTGTTGGGCATTAAATCATTAAATAAATAAAAAATAAATAAAAAAACACCATTTTTAATCGAAATTTAATCAAAGAACCGTCCAATGAATTTGCAGGGCTTGATCTTCCAAAAAAAATGTGGGTCAAATTAAATCGTATAAGAACAGGACTTGGAAGATGCAATTATATACTACACAAATGGAATCCAGAACACAATTTTCCGGGTCGATCTGAGACAATTTTTTCTTCGGGGCTCAAAAAAGGCAGAGTATAACCTTCCTTTTTTAACAAAAATCGACTGCACCAAAATTTCTCGGGAAAACACTTTTTCTTATTAATTTTGGTGCGTAGAATCCAAAACAATTCGTACTTTTTCGATCAGACTTCTCAATCAAAGGTTATGGACTAGAAACTAATTTCGAAAGAAAATTCAAAGGGCTGTAACTTTTGAACTAGTAGCCCAATCTTGGAACTGTTTCAAATTATGGATTCTACAGGCCACATTCACATTTTTTTCAAAAATCGACTGCACCAAAATTTCTCGGGAAAACAATTTTTCTTATTAATTTTGGTGCGTAGAGTCCAAAACAATTCGTACTTTTTCGATCGGACTTCTCAATCAAAAGTTATGGACTAGAAACCAATTTCGAAAGAAAATTCAAAGGGCTGTAACTTTTGAACTAGTAGCCCAATCTTGGAAATGTTTGAAATTATGGATTCTACAGGCCACATTCTATAAGAAAATTTTTTTTCCGGGTCGATCTGAGACAATTTTTTTTTCGGGCCTCAAAAAAGGCAGAGTATAACCTTCCTTTTTTTGACAAAAATCGACTGCACCGAAATTTCTCGGGAAAACACTTTTTCTTATTAATTTTGGTGTGTAGAATCCAAAACAATTCGTACTTTTTCGATCGGACTTCTCAATCAAATGTTATGGACTAGAAACCAATTTCGAAAGAAAATTCAAAGGGCTGTAACTTTTGAACTAGTAGCCCAATCTTGGAACTGTTTGAAATTATGGATTCTACAGGCCACATTCTATAAGAAATTTTTTTTCCGGGTCGATCTGAGACAATTTCTTCTTCGGGGCTCAAAAAAAGGCAGTGTATAACCTTCCTTTTTTACCAAAAATCGACTGCACCAAAATTTCTCGGGAAAACACTTTTTCTTATTAATTTTGGTGTGTAGAATCCAAAACAATTCGTACTTTTTCGATCGGACTTCTCAATCAAAAGTTATGGACTAGAAACCAATTTCGAAAGAAAATTCAAAGGGCTGTAACTTTTGAACTAGTAGCCCAATCTTGGAACTGTTTGAAATTATGGATTCTACAGGCCACATTCTATAAGAAAAATTTTTTCCGGGTCGATCTGAGACAATTTTTTTTTCGGGGCAGAGTAAAGGCAGTGTATAACCTTCCTTTTTTACCAAAAATCGACTGCACCAAAATTTCTCGGGAAAACACTTTTTCTTATTAATTTTGGTGCGTAGAATCCAAAACAATTCGTACTTTTTCGATCAGACTTCTCAATCAAAAGTTACTAGAAACCAATTTCGAAAGAAAATTCAAAGGGCTGTAACTTTTGAACTAGTAGCCCAATCTTGGAACTGTTTGAAATTATGGATTCTACAGGCCACATTCTATAAGAAAATTTTTTTTTCCGGGTCGATCTGAGACAATTTTTTTTCGGGGCTCAAAAAAAGGCAGTGTATAACCTTCCTTTTTTACCAAAAATCGACTGCACCAAAATTTCTCGGGAAAACACTTTTTCTTATTAATTTTGGTGCGTAGAATCCAAAACAATTCGTACTTTTTCGATCAGACTTCTCAATCAAAAGTTATGGACTAGAATCCAATTTCGACGATTTTAACCCTGAAGGACCAGTTTTTCGCCAATAACGGTTCAATAAGCTTTCAAAGCAGACCAAATTTGCTATAATTTAAAAATCAGAACTACCGGATTTGACGCATGGTCTGATGTATATAGTTACTGGACTAAAATAAGAAAGATGCCTTTGCGCAGTGCGTACGTCTGATTTTTACAGTATACGATATGCTTGTCTTTACTAGAAGCATCTGTGGTTAAAATTTCAAACAAATATCTCCGTAAATAAGAAAGATAGAACAACAAGAATGAGCTCAAAGGTCGTTCAATGTATTACTATTGTAAAGATCATTTGAGTGGACAGTGTGGACACACAGTAACATTAGGAGAATTTTTAATCTGTTCGTTCCTTAATAATAAACAAGAATCAACTTAAGGAAAAACCCCCTGATACGGCAGGCGATGAAGAGTGTTCTTCAAAAGTGACTTGATGCTGCGCTAATTGAGGAAGGGATCAATTCCTCGGAGTATTCCATTGAATTGGAAAATTTCTAGCAAATTTCTAGAAAAATGAAAATTATAGAAGCATAGAAGAAGAAAAAGGTCTCGAGGAATATCTTCGGTATGTAAAAAGAAATTCGGTCGAACGGAAGCATTAGAGAAAAACAATCCATGAGTGGGCAAAGCATTAGATCTGAAAAATAATGGACGTGTAGTTTATTACCCAGTGACGAAAGTACTATTTGTTGCGGATTATCAGGTGATGTGGAATACCCTACAGGATTGGAAACACGACACGAAAAGTTGCTGTGGATTTGATGGTCTCGATTGGCGAAAAGTCCGTAATATGCTGGAGATAATCTAAAGCTAACCGGTGTGGAAATCCCAGTGTACAAGTGGAACTATAATAATCCAAGGAGATATCTTAGAGTTTCGGGACGAAACAGGTTCTAAGGGGAGGGCAATGTAACGATCAAGTGAGGACAGTGTGAATAAAGTCCTGTTTTATCACGATTCGGGTGTTACACAACTTCGAACATTTCTTGAGCTGTAAATTACCATTTTTATCTCTGCAAACGAAGTTGGCAAATAAAAACAAAAAATTAAAAATCGATCCATATTTCGGAGCTCGTTATTTCACAAACAAATGTAAATGTGTCCTGCTAACTTTACGTTAAAAGCTTAAATATTGGAAACAATTGCATATGAGCTATATTGAGCTTTCAGTCAATTAGCTTCAAAATTTGAACTTTTATATTTATTTCAGAATTGTTACTTATGAAGGTCCTAACTCGTTTGGTGGTCTAGGATTCGCAATATTTGTCACAGGTTTTTCTTGAAATAACTTCAATTTGCTTCGTCCGACTTCGTCACGCGACACTCCAGGAACCTCCACAAAATACACCATCGACCGCAATTCTGCAAGTGGTCACTGGGTACCTGGGTTAGTTTTCTAAATGACGTGCAATTAACAGCGTACTTTTCAAATTTGTTTGTGAATTAAAATATTGAAGAAGGCCTCCTTGAAAAGCTCAAATAAACTCAAGATGCTTGTTCATTTACGTGAACTTCTGGAAATATTGTACGTCGGCCATTGACTGTAAGAATTCCCGAGACAACGTGTACGCAACAAATGCCAAAACAACTTAAAAAAGTAACAGTGAGAAAATTTAAATTGCTAGGTCACCCTCTCCATTTCAAGCGTTTCGAGTTTATTGTGGGAGTGTCAGATCGGACAACAAAATTCATTCGGGGGGATTATTTTTTAAATTAACCTCGTAAATAATATGGTCGCAACGAAACGCCACCCTTAGAATGAGAAATCGATTTCTCGGAGTTTAATATTATGTTAATGATTACGCGGCTTTCCGCCAGCTTCTCAGTTAATTTTCATCGATTCTCGTTTAAGTAAAGTACAAAAGAAATTTGTATAAACACTTCCGCATTATACAGTTTTTCACTTTGAAATTGATCGTTAATACGCCACCTACCTTTGTATCTTCATCATCCGCATTTAACCACTGAAAGGGTCCTAACACTTTTTAATTAGTGCTAAGTGCGCAAGAAAGAAATTAAAAACTTTTTGAAATTTTCCAAGATATTTTCGGTTCGTAAGTTTTTACGGCGCCTTCGCGTTCGGGCAATACTTTACCTTCATAAACCAAAAGTGACGAAAAGTAATCAAACGACTTCTCCCTATCCTAAACTCTGCGAAACTTTACCGGGGCGACCTTAAAACTTGATAGAAAAATTTGATCGTCGAAACAATCTATAATTGGAAACTTCTTGCGCTGGATGCGGCACTATAGGAAAAACAACACAGAAAACATAAAACATTTTTATTAATATTATCACAGTTAACACCTTGTATAACAACTGTATTACATTTAAAAATTGATTGCTTAGGGCATCTGTACAGAAACTGCAATACTATCTCGTTTAGTAATTCGGAAAAATGGTAATTGTTTCGTTTTTTTGCACCGAAGTCATTTTTCTGTGATCTTGGTGTTTTCCAAAGCTTGATTTTGAGAAAATCACACATTCACAAAGAAAGTTTCGTGTGAAATGTAAGATTCTTTGTAATAAACTATAAAGGATGGAAGTTTACGTAAAAGCGAGTCCATTGCAGGATTACAATAGAATTATGTTGTACGTTATGGTTAAAACGAAAAGCATTTTCCGTTGAAAATTCGTTACAAACATATACCATTTTTCGCTTGACTTCCTTAATTACAACTTTAAAAAATGCTCTCGTATCAAATAACAAAATTGTATAGCGTCAAAGTATAGAAATACGTAGAAAATTATATGAAGTAGAATTAATACTGCGGGAAAAATCTTTGTAACAAATGTCTTCTACTTTATCATTTCGGAAAACACAACAACTCAAAAATTGCGCAATTTTTCCCTTATATGCCTACATTTTTCTTTCTAATATTTTCCGGTACAAAAGTTTTTTTAGTTAGAACTGAAAGGTTGTTGCCTGTTTCTTTGTACAACAATAATAACCTACCTCTCACTCGTACTTACTAATTTTGATCTCTTTACATAATTAACATTAAACAATCTATGAATATTAGTGAGTTACAGGTGACAAAAATAAACATTAACTATTCTGTAATATCGTCGCAATTATTATAATCCATTGAACTAACGTTAAGTCGAGTATTCTACTAGCTCGATCGACGGCACTCACTGAAAAAGAAATTACACCCAATTAATAAAACGCAAATAACCAAATTCATTCTGCGAGGCGCACATACTTAAAACTCTAGAGAAGGGCCTCTTTCGAGTTCCAGCGCGGCTCCATTTTCTCTAACAACATACTTGTCAGGCTCTTCAGTCGAGCCCACCGACAAACTTTTTTTTCTCGCGCTGAAGTGTCGTCATTATATCGTATAGAGAACATTAAAACTCATTTATCATTACTGTCGAGGTTTTTTATTATACTCTACAAAATAAGAACTTTATAGTTACATGTATACTCTCCTGTATACACACATCAAACGTTAATTTATGACACTTAGGGCGCTGCGGCATACCAAAATTACGTAATTGATGGCAATTAGAATGGAATTTATCAACCTACAAGGGTGAAATTTATCATCTCGTACAAAAACCGAAATGTCACCGTTAATATGGCCGAGGGGATCAATGGCAACTTAGCGAGAGGATACGCGAAATTTATTACTGAATAAATAGTTGAAGTGGCCCTAATATTTACATGAACTGAATAATTTAACCTCAGGCTTTTAACACAGTTCTTTCACCAACACCCCCTACCCCGCGAAAAATTCGCATACAAATAAATGCACCGCTTGAATATTCGTCCACTTGATACTTTGACATCTGTATAGGGTCGCCGCCTCTTCCAGGATTTAGTCAACTGTCGTGGGGGTGCGTCCCTGGTAGGCACCATCAGGGACGTTTCACCACTACTTTTGTTGCCATCGCGCTGGGCCGCGACATATGCCAAACAACGTGGTGGATTTTGTGGAGGGGGTGAGGGTGGAGGCGGATAACTTCGTTATCCGACCGGAACGGGTTCGGACAGATGCGCCACTGGAATATCTGCCTTAGAGGGAACTCTGCTTTCTGGTGATAACTTCTTCTCCGAGCGTTCATTAGTTTCCGATGTTCCTATCCTTTGGTATAGTTCCCTTGCCACGTGTTCCTCCCCTTTTTATTGCTGTTTACCCTCCCTGCGTTACTTTCTTTCCCCTCTTCCTCTTTCCTCTTTGCTACTAGTGCTTATGTTTGATTCTTCCTTCACCTCCAGTATTCTTCTGCTTTCTTTCTTTATTTGATGTTTGTCTCTGCTCCACTCTTCCCATCTTCCCGAGGCCTCTACCGTCTCCTACCTCTCCTATCGTGTTATCTGCCCTCACCACACTATCATAGTGGTTCCGGACATTGCTACTCCCTAAACTGTATGCTAGGTGGCAGTGACCTGTGGCTCCAGTTGTAGCTCGTGGTTCTATAACACGCTTCCCCCCTCTTTCCTCGTATACCACTATCGGGCTGTTGTATGTATTGGCCGACGCCGCCAGTGACCCGTGTCCTCCCCAGAATCCCTGCTTTCTCTGGTCCCTGAGGTATGCTTCGGCGTTTTCCTCCATATTGGCATATTGATCACACCGGAGTTCTAGTACCGCTATGTTTCTTATCAATTGTAGATGTCCATGAACTTGGCAGGCCTACTACAGCAGACCATGGTTCTGCTTACTCATATCGTTAGTGTTCCGTTAGTGCCGTTGAAGAAATCGTTAGTGCACAAAAGGAAACTTACTATTTTTAAAAAATATTTGTGGGCCTGCTAACTTCATGCCAGCAGACCCATTTGAGAAAATCGATTCAATCTTTACACTAGTTAAACTAGCAGCGTTAGTGCTCGTTAGTGCCGCCAATATAAACGTTAGTGCTCAAAGTGTATCAGCTCAAAACGTTGTAAAAAGGGGTCTGCTAATTTCATGCAGCAGACCACATTTGTCAAATTGGCCCTGTCCTAATGCGAATTTGAAGCGGCTCGTTAGTGCTTCACATTCGAACGTTAGTGCTGCAAGGGATCCGCATCAAAAAGGTACCAAACTATATCTAATCGTACTGTAGCACGTGGAATCTGCGGGTCCGGCGACAAGGCGACGACCGAAGGCTCTCGACTCATGGGCTGGCTACGGGCGGCACTCGACGACAACTTGATTCTATGGTGACAAGTATAGGTACGCAACTGGGATTTTAATCAAGTATCTTAAAGGTTAACCCTTAACCATCGACATTACCGAAAATCCCTTTATCCCCGAGTAGCGGTCTCACAGACTGGTTGGCGAAATGGTTGCTTTTAAACTGATAATGAAACTGAAAATTCTTTAAAATATTTGATTGCGTTAAAGGTACTAGTATCAGTATAATAATAATAATACGCTTTTATTCCCCTTAAGTTTGTATAAATAACAATAGAAAAATATATTTTAAAAAAAACTAACCTCGGGGAAAGGGACTACATTCAGCGCACAAAACACTGTTCTTCCATGTATATTTTTAAAAAATCATACCAAAATTCGCATATTATAAAATGCAAAATATGAAAATAGAAATAGAAACCAGAGCTAATAAAGACATCACTAATTTAATCGTTATATAGTTTTTCACAAAGCAAACTCATATTTTCACATCTTGGGCTGTTGCGCTTTGAGCACTAACGCATATGAAGCACTAACAAGCACTAACGAGCTGCTTCAAATTCGCATTAGGACAGGGCCAATTTGACAAATGTTAGCAGACCCCTTTTCACATCGTTGTGAGCTGTTACACTTTGAACACTAACGTTTATACAGGCGGCACTAACGAGCACTAACGCTGCTAGTTTAACTAGTGTAAAGATTGAATCGATTTTCTCAAATGGGTCTGCTGGCATGAAGTTAGCAGGCCCACAAATATTTTTTAAAAATAGTAAGTTTCCTTTTGTGCACTAACGATTTCTTCAACGGCACTAACGTGCACTAACGGAACACTAACGATATGAGTAAGCAGAACCATGGTCTGCTGTAGTAGGCCTGCCAAGTTCATGGACATTAATTGTAGGTAGAAATCTTCCAGGTTTCCCTTGATGTATGCGTTGATTTCTTCTCTAATCCTTTTGGTTCATTCCCTGTGAGACTGGGAATCCCCTCAGTTAATGACCAATCACTCCAAACAAGCAGTCCCCATCCTTATTTATCCGGATGCATTCTAGGATGTATTCGTCTGTGCGCACTTCTTGCTCTGTCATCCTATTTGATCGCTGTTACTTGTCATTAAGGTATTAATCCTGGTTCCGGTGGTGGGACCGCTAAAGCTAGGAGAGATAATTGAATTAAATTAGTTGTTAGGGCACTGAGACGTGCCCCTTCAGTCTATCTTTGGCCACTCCGTATATTACATTGGGTTGGGGGTAGCCTTATAGAATAAAATACTATACAATACAGAATAATTGGGTCTTACGAGGGGGCTAGTTGATTTATTTATTCCGTTAAGACGGGGCGTATGCCTATCAGTGTATTGAAGTTCTAATATACAGGGTGTTACATGACCGCATGTAAAAAAAATTGGGTCATAGAGAGGATCAGGACAAGCCCCCCAAAATTTGGATTTCTTCTTTAATTTTTGTCTCAGCAACCATAAGAGTTTAAAGATAGGTTTTCGGGTATGGCCTATCCGATTTTGAACAAAAATTTTCAAAATTCCCACCACGAAAGGGCGCACCCCTACTTGGGGTTGCGAAAAAAATTCTGATTTCAACGAAATTTAGTATCTGGGGGTTTTTGAACATGAAAATGACCAATCTGGAATTAGTTCTTGGCCGGACAACGAAAATGGAGAGAATTTTACAAAATTTGTTGTGTACATGCTTGATGAGTTAAAGAACAAAATTGTCGAACAGTTTTTTTTAAATAACTTTTGAAACAAAAGTTATACTCTCTTGAAAATTGAGCCTTTGGGTTACAGTGTCCCTCGCCTACTAGTGAGTGATCTTATTTCGCATGTAGTTAATTGAAAATGTCGCAAATAACAAAAAAATAACGATTTAAGTCCAGATTCGTCATTTTCAAGTTCAAAAACCTCCAGATACCAAATTTCGTCGAAATCAGAATTTTCTTCGCACCCCCCAAGTAGGGGTGCGCCGTTTTCTGGCAGGAATTTTGAAAACAAAGTTTCAAAATCGGATAGGGCATACCCGAAACCCTATTCAAAGACGTGCCACCCACTTTCTGGTTGCTGAGAAAAAATTAAAGAAAAAATCCAAATTTCACCACTTCTTTGGAAGTGGGTCCCAAACGAAACACGTTGGACCCTCGGTTTATTTGGAAAAAGTGCTTGTCCTGATCCCCTCTATCACCCAATTTTTTTTACATGCGGTCATGTAACACCCTATATACTAATACTGACGAGAAACTCTAGCTGCTTCGCTAATGGCTCTGGTATCCTTTACGGTCCAGTTTTTGCCTTTTTCGAGGTATTTCCCTTGGGACTGCTGCTATCAGACCGGTGTTGCTTTTGCGTCCCAGTCTTCAGAGCAGTCTCGGTAGGTGCGTTACCTGGTTGCTTAGAACTCCCAGATTGCACTCACTTCATTATATGGGAGGTCAGGGTACCGAGAGCCTCCTGGTTCCTGTCTCATCTTTATTAACTTTCGGCGCGGCACCCCGGAAAATTTTTTAGACTCTCTAATACAAGTGCTCCGGGAGTAGTTTATGTTGTGTTTTCTGTTTTTTCCTTGGGTTTGTGTACCAAATCTCCTTCCCTTTTAAGACGAAATTTGATGATCGTCTGGCACACCTTATAGGCTATCTATTGCAAACAAATTCCGGAACTCTAGGACCATTCCCCTAAAAGTAGTAGAAAATTCCAGAAGTGGGTCCGGACGGACGAACGAACGGACGGAGGGAAGGACAAACTGACGAACGGACGGACAGACAAAACCCAAAGAAATAGCACTTTTTTTCTAATTCTTAACAAATTTCCTACATAAACAGGATACATATCGCTTAAACAATAGAAATGATTATACCCCCCCCCCCTCCGAAAGGCTTCTGATTTTAAATAGTAATAAAAAAGAACCTCGAAAAGAACCAAATTTTAAAAAAATCTACAAAATCGGATCGGAGCTGCTCTTGGGGACTTCCGAAGATTTCCTGGTTTATGTGTTCATTGACGCGACTATACAGGCTGATTCAAATTCGAGGGCCACCATGGAAATCTGGGGAACTGTAAGAGATAGGTAGGTAGTTTAAATTTGGCAAAGTTTCGTATTTTGATTCTTAACAAAATGCAGTTTTGAAACTTAAAAAATTCCGACTACTTTCGGAGATATCCGGAAAACACCGAAATTTTGCAAATTCGTTTTTATTTTTTACTGAAGTTATTTAAAAAGATATTTCGAAATAAATGATACATTATTAAGGCCACTTTTTTCTCTCCACAAAATGCTAGTTTCCAATTTTAAATCCGACGTTTTGTCTCCGGTTGACCATCATCAACTTTGTTTTTTCTTATGGAAGTAATTTTTACTTCTTGGGTCATTTGATAGAGAGAGAGTTCAAAAGTGTAAATATCACAATTTTTTTAAATTATTAAAATATTTTCTTTTTTGCCTTTTGTCTTAGATAGTGCACGTACGTAGGTTCTTGCGTTTTTACGAATTAATAGCGTTATTTATGATTAAAAGATAGTGATGTTTACATTTTTGAAATCTGAAAAAAATTCTCCATCAAATGACACAAAAAGTAAAAATGACTTCCATAAGATAAAAACCAAGCTGATGATGGTTGACTGGAGACGAAACGTCAAACATAAAATTTAAAAGTAGCATCTTGTAGAGGGCCAAAAGTGGCCATAGTAATGTATCATTCATTTCGAAATGTCATTTAAATAACTTCAGTAAACAATAAAAACGATTTTGCAAAATTTCGGTGTTTTCCGAATATCTCCAAATAATCGGAATTTTTTCAGTTACAAAACTGCATTTTGTTAAGCATCAAAATACGCAACTTTGTCAAATTTAAACTACCTGCCTATCTCTTTGGTGGCCCTCGAAAATGAATCACCCTGTATTTTAGTCGAGCTCAAAAATTAGAATTACTTGTAGGTGGCTCTTAAATCGCTTGTATTCATGCTTAAAAATTAATTTGTAATAAGTAAAGAAAAACAGATTAGGGGCTAGGTACGCCAGAATACAGGGTCCGTTAACTTGGCCCCCACTGAGAGATTTTATAGTCGTATTATTTTGAATGCGCTCGTGCGCTCATTGCGCCCGTAATTTCGGGGCCTGGCGCTCATTGGGGGATTTTTAAAAAGGGGGGGGGGCTAACTTAACGTTTTAAAAGTTACGTTTTTTAACATGTTTTTTCTACTACATCGTACCTTTCATCATGCGCTTAAAATGTGCCAAAAAACAAAAATTTGGCGCCATTATAGTGTTTCAGAAACTAAATACAGGGTGTTTTTTGGGCGTTATTTCATTCTGGGAAAGTAAAATAGGTAGGTTTTGAAAAAGTTCCGAATCGATGTAAATAGCAGAAATGTCATTTAGTTAAATTTAGTCATGATGCTAAAACCTTGATATAATTTTTAATTATTACCAGCCAGTTACAAGTCAAGTGTGCTATACACGCAATTTCATCCCGCACCAAAGCGTTACACAAGGATAGGGTACGAAGGGGGGACGGGATAGGTCCAGCAAGTTAACGGACCCCAGAATACACCTGGCCGCTCCCCAGGATGACATCTATTTACTCTTTTAAGAGTGACGCTCAAAAATTGCAATTACTTGTAAATGAAAGGTCTTAACTAGCTCGTAATGGGGGGGGGGGGCGAATCCAAGCAGACTCGCCCACTCCATATCAAATTTTACATTCCTAGTGATTTAAGCGAGTTCCAAAATTTTAAGCTTGGGATATGAAAAGCTCCTAAATAACTCATAAATTGGATACAATTCTTAAATTGATACACAATGGGAGGGGGGGGGCTAGGTCCAGCGGGGTATAAAGGTGACGACATTTTACCTTCGCTTTTAATTTCTAAACTCTTGATTGATATCAGGAATATAATGTGCAAGGTATGTTCCTGTAACATTTTCTATGGCTACCACGAAAACATAACGAAGCAGGTCAGCTGAGATCTTTCCCCTTTGTATGAGAGTATGTGACTTTATTCCTCCTTTTGGAGAACTAGTAAAATGCTTAAGATAATCTCGAAACGAAACTGAATAAGGGAGTCTCAAAAGGTAACAGATTAAAACTATCTCAACAGGGGTAGAAACTAAAACAACCTCAACATTTTGATATACGGCGCGATTTCAACAATCTTCCCTTAAATTGAGCTGTCATGATTTATACTTTACAATAGTCTGAATAGTTACGATAACGGAATTGTGCTCCAATTGCATCGGTTGTTGCATGAAAATGGCTGCATTTTTTTAAATAAAGAAATTTGAACATGTGCCCCGCACAAAAATGTAGTTTCGACAAACGCAAAAGGCGTAAATTTTTAATTCTCGCTTTGCCGTTCAAGTAATGTCCAATTAGTACAGCCCTCACAATTAATGTCGCAATTTATCCCGCACCAAAGCACACAAGGTAAAATTCTCGGATCCCCTTTCTTATTTCGTACGAAGCCCGAAACTGCACTTACCTCTTTCCGGGACGGGATCTCTAACACTATCAAGTCTCAGTTCTGCATACTCTAGATACATATCGGCTATTTGAGCTTCACATCTTAAAATTAAACGTCCGCCGTTAAAGTGTACTTCTGATAATGGAAGTTCCAGATATAAATCGCTCCAGAGCATTTCCTGCGACTTTTTCGTTATTATTGTTTCGCTTTTGGCAACCTACATTAAGGGAGGGGAAAAGTTTCTGGAGTTAATGCAAGTCTGAAATTTGTTATACGAACCGTTCTATTATTTAATATAAATTTTAGCGTGGCCGGAGGTCTCGAAGGGGGTGAAGAACAATTGGCTCTCAGAACGTCTCCGTAATCCAGCGGTTCACTACTGACACTAATTGTCGGGGGCTCTTCGGGAAGTTCTGTAATTATAATAAATTATTAGTGGCACGTTCGTGAAAACTTAATCAGAATTCGTAAACCTTGACCTCGAAAAATCTAGAGCGTAAGTTATCACTTTACGAGGGGGCTAGTCGGTGTGTTAATTAGTTTGGATCACTTAGGAATTCACCCTGCCCGAACAGTACGCACCCCACCGCAGCCTCTCGTCTCCTACAAATTAAAATTGCCCTTGTTGGAAATTGACTTTTTTACAGCCGCTTTCGGTTGTGTATTTCATTTTCTGAACACCGTACAAGTTTTGTCATTTGTGAATTTTATAACTTTTTGGGAACTCCTATTTGTGAGGCGAGATGAAGTGGAAGCATTATTATGAATTTTCGTTTTATATTATCAAATTTTTGCCGCCACGTTACGCGAAAGATGTATCAAAATTTTAAGCGTTGCTCAACTTATAATGACGATTGAACGGAATTTTTAATCATAAATTGAATACCGTTAACAAGGTAACTTTTTAATTTGAATTTAAAGGAGCTTTATTTGTATACGAAATTAACTTATGGCGCAGCTTCAGACGTAAAATTCCTTAATTTCGGAAAGGGTGATTAAAGATCCCTTGAAACTGAGAGAGCAGGAATGTAAAAGGAGTTATGCTATTAATATACTTAAATAACAGCAACCCTTCGCAGTTATAATTTGTTTCTCTTAATTGAAGGGTAAAAAGCGGACATAATCCGTTATAATTTCGCCTTGAATACTAACTTCATAAAACGCATTTTAATCCGTAGGATGTGAACAGAGAATAAATCGTATTAAATATAGTAGGACGCCCATTTTCGCATTTGAAAAACGCTACTGGGTAGTCTATCCAAGCTTTAAATAAACTTAATTTAAATTAACCCACACTTATTTGGAATTCGATGTTTCGATGAGTAGAAGAACGGATAAACATGACGAGTTATTCTTAAATGGGGTGAACTCACACTCGATTACACTTTCAAACTGAATAAGTGTACCCCTCAAAAGTGCCCAATAGTAGTTTCGAATAATATCTGCATAAATTTGCTTCGCCACTACCTCCTCATTGGATTCTTAGAGAATCAGCATTCCATATTACGCTACGATTGGCAATGACTTTGACAAATTCAGAATTATTTTGCATAGTAAAGGGATGAAAGTATTTGAAACAACCTATTTTGCGCTTGTGGAGAAAATACACCGTATAATTTTGCCGGACAGCACTGATTTGCACAAAAATGTACCCCCTGCTTTAAAGATTACCCTATGCCGGGTGTAACGGCTTAGTTAGAAACAAGTATAAATTGTGCACAACTTTTGTGCAGATAGACGCAGTTTTTTTATTTTGGTTGGGTTATAAAGGGAGGAGGCTCTTAACACACAAACATTTAAAGATCGCCTGGCATACATTCAAAATCCTCCGACACTCCATTCTGCAGATTTTGCTTTTGAGACAAACCGTTTTCGAGATATTCGCGCTTAAACCCCCTTCAACTCCGTTTTTTGATAAGAAGACGGACAGAAGGGTAATAGTTGGTAGAAAACGGTTCCTTTCGTCTAGACCAGGCATTTCAAACTCAGTTATCGTCAAGGGCCATTTTAAGGGTCCCAAATAGAGCTGCGGGCCACATCATTAAAAAAGTTCACATTAAGAAAATTTTGATTTTTTATTACATAAAAGGTAGGTAGGTCTGCAAAATAATACAATAAAACGAAAAAATACAAATAATCATAAAATCATGAAAATACCCCTGTTTTGAAAGATATGAGACTTACAAACAGAACAAACAGAATCAATCCAACTAAGTGCGTGTTTCTTATTAGATACAGGGTAAAAACGAAAAGGTTGACTTTTTGGGATATTGTCAATCATACCTTACTACCGATTAGGGAATGCAATACCAGGATCGCGGGATCCCGAAATACCGGGATCCCGCAGTATTTTTGCGGGATTAATCCCGCACGTAAATGGATCGGGATCCCGCGGGATTTGCGGGACTGAGGAATTTGTCGACCAAGGAGACGACTCTGTTTACTTTGTTAATGAAACGTAAAACGAAGAAATTATTTTTTTCTCCAACCACCTGAATAAGACGCTATTTTGTGTTCGATACGTAAAATTGACGTTTTGCGGATTAATCGCTATCACCATGGCAACTGTACAAAAAGTGGATACTTTTGGTCCTAGTACCAAAAAGAAATTGACCTTGAAAGTTGGCCAATTAAAAAATTACTATCACGGAGATATGTCACATTGACATCGTTTTACATTGCAGGTTGTAAGATATTTCTATACGTACAAATCAAATATTTTTGCATATTCAATACAAATAATGCTGTTACCTATACGTATCTACATGTAATGAAAATGATTTACGCTCGCTATTTTTATTTAAACCATGTGTAACGTAATTTACATATTCGGTGAACGTAATTTTAATACGTATACAACCGGCCGTCGCGCGTAACGCCATCTACTTAAGACACATTGCACTATTATCTGTCATTTTGAATTCAAAATTTGAAAAAGTTAATTGCAATTAATTTTAATTAAAAAACTGTATGGTAAGTTTTTTATTTCAATACAAAATATAACAATGTTAATTTTGTATACAATAGACTGAAACGTCTGAAACTGATAGCGACATGGATAGCACTCCGCCAGAGATTATAAAAACGGCAGAACATGCTACCTTAGATTTGGTCCCTACAAAGTCGCGAGAGGTGAGAAGTAGGAACGAATAGGTTATAAGTTAACCTAAATACTACAGTGGCATGACACGTGAGGACAAGAAAGCAGAAGTTCTCAAACTAGTAGTGAAACTGTGAACTGAATCTAAATTCGAATATAATTTAAAGTAAAGGGGGTTGGAGAAAAAATTTTATGTTTTATTCGTACAAAAAATGCGTTTTCGAGACTCGGAAGGTTGCTGGACTCCGCTAACGCGTCGTCCAGCAACTATCTTCCTCGTCCCGAAAACTGACATTTTTTGTACTAATGAAACAAATAACTATTAAAATAATTTTCGTTAAAAATGTAGGTATAACTTTTGATTGAGACGTCTAATCGAAAAAGTACGAATCGTTTTGGATTCTACGCACCAAAATTAATACGAAGAAGTGTTTTCCCGAGAAATTTTGGTGTAATCGATTTTTGATAAAAAAGGAAGGTAATAAAAGAACACTGCCTTTTTTTGGCTGGAAAAAAAAATTGTCTCAGATCGGCCGGAAAAAAAATTTCCAACAGTTCCAAAATTGGGCTACTAGATCAAAAGTTATAACAGCCCTTTGAAATTTCTTACGAAATTGGTTTCTAGTCTAGGTACTATGATTTTTGAGGCACTTTAGAAGTTCACCTTTTTGTGCTTTACACAGCTTTTTTGAGTTCTCAGTTAGGCTGAAGGTACTTTTTTTATTGAATATTGTGATAATTAGCTATTTATTTTAATACAGAAGTTAACCGCACAAAATTCCTTATTTGCCAATTTATTTAAAATTTTGCGGGATCCCGCAAATACCGGGATCCCGCGGGATTAACATCTAACGATCCCGCAAATACCGGGATTGAGATTTTACTGCGGGATTGCATTCCCTACTACCGATGTACGATAGAAAAAAAGGTAAAAACTACCTGTATTAGATATGTTTACGTAAAATCCAGTAGCGTAGTAAAAAGAATTTGAACCACCGTTTCTAAGATTGAACCCAAACTTGATATTTTTCAAATGTAACACCCTGTATTTTAACGTAAATTTTTTGCATATCTTTTTCGTGATTACATTGATGAATCATCCTATATTTTTTAAATTATATATCATACTTTTCAAAATGACATGTTTCTACCGCCAGCCATTTTTATTGATTGACATCGGCTGCCTTAGTAACCATGGATCCAATAAATAAAACAAAATCTCCATGAATCAATGGCCTACTATTTAAAAAAGTAAAAAATAAGGTTTTTATTAATTTTTATCGATAAGATTTAAAAAAATATAGGTTGTGATACATCAATGTAATTAGGAAAAGGTATGAAAAGCAATTGACGTTAAGGGCGTTTTAAAAAATACCGACTTTAGATCAAACCTCAGAAACGGCGATCCTGAAGCAAACACCACTGTAGCGCCAAATTAACCCTTTATCTTGTTCCTTTTGGCTTGTTGTAAAATTCTCATTAATATATATCAAAAAAGAAAGGGCCTAGTACAGACCCTTGCGGAACTCCGTGAACAGTAACATATTGTGTTCCATCTGTTAAGTAAGAGGCAAGTAGCTGGCAACTGGTTACGCCAAAATTATAGTAACGAAGCTTATCAAGTAAAATACATTGGGAAACATAGTCAAATGCTTTTTGAAGATCAAAAAAAGTTGCAATGTTGCCTTCTCTATTTTCAAAACTGCAGAATTTTTGTAAGAGGTATAATGATATAATTCTTTCTAAACTTAACCCATAACAGTCTTTGCTTTTATTTGATTTCATATTATCAATGAGTCGAAGATTTCTATAAGATACCTCCTTAAATGTGATAAATGATTTTTGTATTAATTTTGAGATGCAACTTAAATCGCAAATCTGAATCCATAATGAGCCCAAGATTTTTAGCACGATCCACAAGTGGGAGTATTGTACCGTTCATGGATACTCGAGTGAGATTTATTAACGGCAGTCTATTCCTCTTACTCCCAAATAGCATAACTTTACATTTATTAGAGTTTAACGTAAGATTATATTTATTAGAATTTGTTGACAATTGTTGGAGGTCCAGATTTAAATTGTTTACTGCACTTTGAAATTCACTTTTAGGGAATGAGATATAGATCTGAGTATCATCCGCAAAAATATGGACTTTGGTATGCTGGTATGTCCTTATACAGGGTGACACTTTTAAAACCTTCAATGGGCGATATCGTTTTTTATATTAGAGGTATCACAAAATGGCCAAAACCGTTTCGGTAGAATCGAGGGGGAAGCAAAATGGTCGTATAAAGAAGGAACCAACTTCAACCT